GACCGACATTTATTGAGTGCCTACTGTGTCCCAGGCGCTGAGGGCCTGGAAGTGACTGTGCGAGGGCAGACTGAGAAACCTGCCCCACCTGTCGCAAATCCCTTTGGCATCACAGGGGTGTCCTCTCAGGTCCCCGCTGGTCACCGGTGAAGGACCTGGGTGTGTGGAATCTCATCTCGTTGCTGGGCCCACGTGGGGCCTCAGGGCTGGCTGCGGAGGGGGGTCCCTCCAGAGCGAGTGCCCTCGGCCAGCGCTCCGCCCCCAGCCCCCTTGGGCTCTCTCCCTGCCGGGGGCTTGGCCACTGTCCAGGTTGCCCTGTCCCCCTTCCTTGAGGTCAGCCCTGCTCTTAAAGGAGCGTCGTCTTTTGATGATAAAGGTCTGCTGTGCGTGTCCTTATGGTTGTGAAGACGCTGAGTCAACGTGGAAGTGGCCGTGACACACCAGTTTGTAAACCACAGTAGTAAGAACAGGTTTGTTGTCATCTGTTCCTGTTTCCTCCAGCGTATTTGAGAATGAGACAGCCCTAAAAACGAGCTTGTATTCCATGTCTGTGTGGATTCCTTTTCTGATTCACACACTGCTGGTTGCCTAGCAACTTACAGTGTTACGACTGAGGCACCACTCATCAGATTCTGTACAGAGGCCAATGTGTCTCTGAGGTGGGAACCTTCAGAGGGGAAGGTAAGGTGTTTCTTGGGAAGGGGAGGACCAAACCACACACAGGTGGTAGTAAATATTTCGAGTCTAACACCGAATCAGAGGGATGGCTGTGCTTCGTTTACTGAATCTTCTTAGACGGATAAATGTAGCCGAGGAGACGAGTGATGGTGAAATGGCTCTAACGGGACTGTACGTAGTAGCATCCTGAACGTCTCTTCTCTTAGCTGCACTCCGTTCTGGTGGGTGTGTAGTGGTACCTCATTGTGGCTTCAGTTCGTATTTCCCTGGTGATAAAGGATGCTGGTATTTTTTCATGTACTCTTTGGCCACCTGATGTTTTCCTTTGGGTAGTGTCTGTTCCAACCTTTTCACTGACGTTCTAAGTTGAATTGTTTGTTTGTTTACAATTCTGGAAGAGTAGCAGTTCTTAATGCTCTTAATTTTTATGCAGTCCAGTTTATCATTTTTTTCTTTTATGGTTCATGCTTCTTTTGCTCTATCTGAGAAAAGCTTTACCTATCCCAAGGTCAGAAAGTTTTGCTCCTATAATTTTATTTTAGAAGTTTCAGAGTTTTACATTTAGGTCTATGATTTGTTGATACAATTTTTAAAAAAAGATTTTTTAATTGATTTTTTTTAAAGAGCAGAATGGAGAGGGAGAGAGAGAGAGAGAGAGAGAGAGAGAGAGAGAGAGAGAGAGAGAGAGAGAGAGAGAGAGAGAGAGAGAGAGAGAGAGAGAGAGAGAGAGAGAGAGAGAGAGAGAGAAACATCAATGAGAGAGTGAGACATCTGTCAGAACCAGCAACCTTTTCAAACACAGGACGACGCCCAACCAACTGAGGCACACCAGCCAGGGCTCAGATTAATTTTTGTATACATGCAGGATAAGATTATTTTATTTGTGTGTTTTTTTGCATATGGATGTACAATTGTTTCAGTACCATGCATTTAAAAAATGATCCTTTTTTCAAGTGAATGGTCTTGGCACTTTTGTTGAAAATCAGTCAAACATACATTTGTGGCTCTGTTTCTGGACCCTGTTCTGTTTTAGTGATCTATGTCTGTCTGCACTCCAGTACCACACAATCTTCATTACTGCAGCTTTGTAATAAGTCTTGAAAGATAAATCTTCCAACCCCCCACCCCCCCCAAATTGTCTGGGTCATTCTAGGTTTTTTCTATTTCTGTATATGTTTTAGAACCTGCTTATCAATTTCTAAAAAAAAAAAAGGTCTCTAGGATTTTGATTGGAATTGCATTGAATTCATAGATCAATTTGGAGAAGAATTGACATCTTAGTAATATTGAGTCTTCTAATCCATGAACATGGTATATTTCCTCAGTTATTTTGAGCTCCTTTAACTTTCAACTCAGGAGTATTTTGTAGTTTTCAGTGTACAGGTCTGGCACATATTTTGTTTAATTTGTCCCTAAATGTTTCAGGCCTATTAAAATGGTATTTTTAGAAGTTTCAGACTCCAAATATTCTCGGTTAATATAGAGAAATACACCCAGTTTTTGTGTATTGCCCTTGTATTTTGAAACCTTGCTGAATTCGCTTACTAGTTCTGGTACTTTTTTGGTAGATTCCTTAGCATCTTCATCATTGTGTGCAATGTGTTCCAGCAAGAAACAAAGGCACGTTCACTTTTCCTGCGAATGGCTAGCGATCGACTCAGTGCTGTGGCCAGTTCAAAAGGGCCAGCAGTTATGTAACTATAAAAAATTCAGATTTTGGTTCTACCGAAATTGTATTTAATTAGCCTGAAATCTTAGAGAAAGGTAAAAACTAAATTCTTGAAATTCAAATCTTTTTTTAAAAAAAACATTAATTAGAAGGTTTTTATGAATTCCATTGGGGTAAAATTGATAGCAGTTGTTTTTTGTTTTCAATAGAACTACTTGGCTTCAAAGAGTTAGGTGGATTTGGGATTGGGGTTGGGTAACACTACTTATGTCAGCCTATTTGCCTTGATATATATGATTCAAACCTCTTTTGTCAACAGAATATCTACACTGCCTTAGTGGTCATTAGTAGAGTTAAGCCAAGAATCATGAATCCTTTTTCCTACACATGGCATCAGCTACTTGTATAGCTCTTAAGTCATTGTTGTAACTTGAGTGCATTTGAAGGGACATTCCAGGCAGATCTGCATCAGACAGGTAGTAATGCTGATATTTCTTGCAACCAGAATTTTATTCTATTATCCAGAGATAACGGGTGTGGGAGAGCCTAAATGCTTCCTTTGTGTCCTTGGTTTTGATGGCTTAAAGTTGCGTTTGACTATCATGAATGTAAATATTTATGGGTAGTATACGGTTATATTTCTTAAGAGGCTTCCGGCCTCATTTTATATCTTTTAGATTCTGTTTGTCCTGAGTAATTTACTTGGCTCTGCATAATCCTGAAAGATTATGTGAAGGAAGTATAAGAGGAAAAAAAACACATACATTGCTTTCATCAATTTTACTTTTTGCATTTGTGCATCAAAGTATTGCTTTAAAAAACATAATTGGGACTATTACTTTCATAATTAGTAGATATAGTGCTCTATATATATAAAAGCCTAAGTGACCATTACGACCGAATGACTGGAATGACTGGTCGACCAGTCGCTATGGCCTGCACTGACCACCAGGGGGCAGATGCTCAATGCAGGAGCTGACCCCTAGTGGTCAGTGCACTTCCACAGCCAACCTCCCACGGCCAGCCAACCTTCCGTGTCCCTTCCCACTCACCCCCCTCAGCTGGCTGGCCCAGATCAGCCCCTATCGCCAGCCAGGCCGAGGGACCCCATCCATGCATGAATTCGTGCACCGGGCCTCTAGTGATAATATAATTCTTTGAGAATCTGCTCCCAACTGGTGTGCAAATAAGAGCAGGTGACTCTACCTGGCCAGTCAGGCGGACCACATTGCCAAAGGGAAGTGTATTGGAGTTGTTGGAGTGAATTTCCTTAGCTCTTGTCCTATGTCACACTCTGCGGTAGTTGTGTGTACACCCGCCGGCCTTCCGTCCTCTGTCCACTGTGGCACTATTTGTGAGACACAGATATTTTTTAGATAAATGATGCCTAACTGGTGTCGGATAATTCACTCCAGAGAGGACTCCCTGCTTTATTCGGTCCTGGAAGTTCTGTCGCCTGCCGGCTGTTCCCTCCCGGTGCCACTCGGGTTGTCATTGACTTTGAGCGGGGGCTGACATTGCCTGCACCCACCGAGCCACCGCCTCGCTCCGCGTGGCTAGTGAGAGCTAGAGTCTGCGACACTTCCGTTATCTGGACGGTTTACCCTTCCACCCGGTGTATCTCTCGCCTGTGTGGTTCCCTTGTGACGACCAGCGGCCCTGGGAATGTGAGGAGGGGACGTCAGACCTGTCCACTCAGCCCCTTAAGAGGGCTGACCAACACTTAAGGAGCAGAGTTGCTTTTAACTAGTGGCCAGCTCTGAGGTTTGGGGGGTCTCAGTCAGTTCAGGCCGTGAGGCAGAATGGCACCGACCGGGCGGCTTGTCAAGGACAGAGTCATTTCTCCTGCTTCTGGAGCCTGGAAGGCGGGATCAGGGTTCCAGCATGGCTGGTTCTGGCGAGGGCCCTCTGCCAGGCCACAGACGGCCGTCTGGTCGCTGTGCCCTCCCTTGTGAGAGGGTGAGGGATCGCCCTGGGGGCTTTGATAAAGGCACTAACCCCATTGAGGAGGGCTCTGCGGACATAACTAATCCCCTCTCCAAGGTTCCACCTCCCAGTGCTATCGCCTTGGGGGTTAGGATTTCAACATAAGAATTTGGGGGCACCAACCTCCAGCCCGTTACCTGTGCCCGTCATTCATTCATTCTGTCTTCTTCCTCCTTAGAGCGCATGCCCACGGGACGGCGAGCGGGACTGTGCTCGGAGGCTGAGCTGAAAGCTCTCGGCACCTCAGTGCTGGTCCCCGGGGCCGCCTCCACCTGGGTTTGGGGGTTTCTCCCAGATGGGAGAATGCGTGTCCTCGTGGGGGAAAGTGGGAGGATACGCGTTTTCTGTAAAATGCACGGAAGGCTGGAGGATTCCTAGTGAGCCCGAGAGCTGGAGGGGGCTGTGGAGAATTCAGGACAGAAAGTGTGAGAAGGACTCTACTCATTTCCTGGATCCTGGTTTCTGGCCGTTTATTTTTGTGGTTTAAGCACTCAGCGTCCTTCCTGCCTGTCGGAGAATCGTTCCAGCGTTGAGAACACGCGAAGGTAGCGTTTATTGGTCATGACTTAGAAGTGCTTATGCGACCTAAGTGCCATCTTAAGGAAAAGCTACCCTCGCCTAAGGTAATGCGCGTTACGACCTTCCCATTTCTTTCCTTACGACGCAGGAAGTCCGGGACCCTCTCCTGCGGTGGCTGGAGAGACGTGTGGATGCTGGAGGAGTGATAAAATCCAGCCAGCTCTCCCTCACCTTTGTCCCATCCTACTCGCCTGAAATGGAGGTCACCCCAGCGGCTCTCCCCGTGGTGACCGACGCGACGGCCTTCTCGTCCGCACATTTTGACTTGGAGATCTACCGGCAAAACTTGCAGACAAAGCAACTGGGGAAAGTAATTCTGTTCGCTGAAGTGACGTCCTCCACCATGAATCTTCTGGACGGGTAAGTGGAGGCCCTGTGCAGATGAGTCCTACTGTGCGAAGGTTCGTTGCCTCTAACCAGCGCTGGGGAGAAGGGATAGGCCCATAGAACCAGAACGTTCCATCATCCCGTCTGGAAGGCAGGCGTTGCCCTGTCCGGGAAGACTCCAGACGCAGGAAGAGAAATGGAGTGCAGCTCTTTGATCACAGGGTTGCGTTCTAAAGCCTGGGTGGTTTCTGTGCCCGTGAGCCTTTTTTTAATCAGGCCTTTCAGAATGTTCTCGGGGAAAAGCACGTTATGAAAAGACGTTTAACAGGTGGCATTGCTGCTCAAGTTATCATTTCGCTTTCGCGTTGCTGGCACCGGCGTTAAACATTTAGTTGACGTCCTTTGCGGGGTTGTCAGCAGAGCAGGTTTGCACGACGTGTAAGCTGTGTTCAGTTGAAACGGATCGGAGCTTTGTACTTCGCTGCGTTCCTGCCCAAGACATTTTTGGAGCACTCTGTAATCCCACGTGGATGTTCGACATTTATTAAAAATTTTCCTTTCAGTTCCTTCTGTTTCCTGGACATTGATTAAAGGTTAAAAAATGGAAAACAGATGAAAGGACTTGTTTAAACTCCCAAATTAGTCAGTATTAATTAATGCTCTTATTTTGAGATAGTTTAACAAGTAGGGTTATGGAGGGAATGAATAAGAAAAGCATCTTCCCTCAACATGGGACTAAAATGTAAGGAATGTAAGATCCCCCCCAAAAAAACCCCAGATCCCTGGTTTCAGACACTTCCCCCTGTTAGATTGCATGGTTAGCTGCATAATTCAGTGTATGGAACATATGGGAATGTTTGGCCTCTCTTCTTAATAACTTCTGGAATTTGATAGCATGTTGATATCAAACGGTGACGTTAGGATTTCTTGACCCTCATTCTCAAAGTCATGGAAATGGCAGCTTTGCTGAGAATAGAGGCTGCAGGAAAAGCATTTGTGAGGCAGCGATTTTCAACCTTTTCCCCCTCACGGCGCACACAAGCTAGTTACTAAAATCTGCAGCACACGATGTGGTTTTCGCTGATTTGACACAGAACAATAGGTATGATTTTTATTCATTCACATCGGACGCCTATTGTTGTGTTGGCTGTTGTCATTTTTTATTTGACAACCTAAGGCAGTGGTCGGCAAACCCATTAGTCAACAGAGCCAAATATCAACAGTACAACGATTGAAATTTCTTTTGAGAGCCAAATTTTTTAAACTTAAACTATATAGGCGCAGTTTGCCGACCACGGACCTAAGGGAAAAGTGGTCTGTGCCCCCGACTAAATAGTCAGGTGTGGCATGTTTAAGAGCTCCTGCAGCACACTGCGTGAACATTGCTGGCGTGGGGAATTGACAGAGTGAGGGGAGCAGTAGGAAGGGGATATGAGCCGTGGGAACCACAGTTCTT